GTGAAGGAGGAGCCATCGTCACCGTCGTGGGTCCGCGTTAAGCAGGAGCTAGCATCCCCACTCCGGCAGGTGAAGGATGAGTCGGCGTCCCCGCCGCGCAACCGCGGCCTCCACAATGGCGACCGCGTGAAGCAGGAGCTGGGCCCCCCTCCCTGCGTAACAGTGAGGATGCCGCTTGATTTCTCTATAACAGGTGGCCAGTTTGTCATCTTTTGTTTTGTTTGATCACACATTTGTTAGGCTAATTTTGCAACCTCATGTGTTGCGCATGATCTTGGATGTGATGAACTAGTATGACGATGAGCTAGTAATGTATTTATAAATTTCGTGTATTCATGTGGAAGCACTTGTCAATATCTGCCCAATGAATATTTTTGCGGTACCGTGAGCCCTCCGGCGCGGAACAGATCCCATAAACCCATCTGCTAGGTAAGCTCTAAGGCGCTCCACCCCCCGTCTCCCCCAAACCGGACAAATAGGGATTTTTGTGGTTAAGGATTGAATGGCTACCTCCCACGTCATGTCCGCGGACCATCTCCAGATAAGAAAATGGACATTTACGGTGTCCGTTTAGAGGCTATTGTCGAAGATACCCTTACTCTTTAAAAGAAAAAAATATATTAAGAAAATGTTGCACAAACTTGCTCACTCATTACTAGGAAAAACTATTAATATAAGCGGGTAATGTTTGCACGTATTGCATAGTATTTCTGTGTATACATTTACACTCATCCAACATCTAAAAAATCGAAATCAAAGACCAAAAAATCGATTGACCTAAGAACAATTTTCAGACTATCTACATATAAGTAAAGTGATTTAAGGAAGTTTTATTTTATGTAAGTGATTTAATAAAGTTGGGGCGAGGTTCCCTAAAGGAAGAGGAAACTGCTCAAGAAATTGATGGAGAGTAAAAAGTGTCGCACGTCCTAAGAAATGGCAAAATTTGTTGCTAATGTTTTTTTAGTCAACTACGGAATTGAAAGGTGTTGACATGTGACGGCTCTGATCGATCGTCTTGAACACAGGGCACACACGTCTAGTCCGCAGTACATAGCATCCACGTGAAATGCTCCGTGATTTTCAGTGTGAACTGTGGAGTATGAACAGGGGGACCGTTCCTGCGATGAAATGCATGTTGGCTGGATACGTGAAAGAGCTAATCAAGAGGAACCTGCAGCTGGAAATTGACAGGAACTCGACAGGCAAGGTGTGAACTCCTCTATTTTTGCAGCTACGCTTGTCTTCCATCAGCCCAATCTTTGCCAGCCTTCAGCTATACTGCATAGGCGCGCCACCGTGCACAGTGCATGACAGCCGTGATTTTGCCTCCAGTTTTAGCTAACCCACCTAAAACATCTCCTTGCTTCAGACGCCATTGTATCGAGTACCAACACCCTGAGTGCTATCCGCGGGCCGATGCATCATTTCGTTGACCCGATCGGGAACCGCAGCACTGTGGCTAGCCAGGACGCACGGACAGTATGCATGCCGCCCTTGTCTGCACAGCGGCAGCCACGAAAGCAATTTATCATGTCGATGCAGGTGCAGGGGTGTAGGTAGTACCACATTTCTCTCTCACCACGGTATCCGAAAATGACTCCTGGTCTGGTCTGTCCACGTAACCTGGACCGTATTATTGAGGAGCTAATAGCATCTGCAGTACTTGACGTGAAAAAAAAAAACCTGACGTGCATGCGACCGTTTCGTACATACACTTTCAAACTATAGCAGACGTATTCAGCAGTACCGGCCGCCTACTCCTACCGTTGCACAGTAGCACTGCGTGGTGGGTGAGCTGTGAGCAGTAGAAGCGGAAATCGAGGTGGTTGCCGGAGGAATTGGTTTCCAGTTCGCCGCGAGCTGGCCGGCCGAGGACGCCAGCGCCAGCGGTGGTCCGTCCGTCCGTCCGCGCTTGTCGCGTGTCGTCGTCGTCCTCGTCGCACGCCGTGCATGCACGCCATTGTCTCCCATCAAACACTCGCGCATTTCCCTTGCACAAACATCGCACACTGTGCACATAGTAACCATCACGATCCGTTTACTGCTTTGCAAGAGATACCGATGTATACCACCCCGCCTGAATTACGCCCGCCCACAGGTCCGTCCATCGACACGGTCGGCATCCGTATAACTGTCAGCCACTACGGCTCAAGGCAGCTATAGCATATAGCTAGCCAGGGCGCAGCGCACTTGTCCAACAGTGCGCGCGCTCGCCCTGCCTGCACTGCACAGCGACGACGAAGTAATCACGATGGATATGCACCGCACGTACCACGCCGCAATCCCTTTCCCTGTCGCCGTGCTAACCGATAAGGACTCCCGATCCAACCTAAAAGAATAGCCAGTGAAAAGATCTGTCGATGAGCGTGAGAGAATGTTTCAATCTGCCTATCGGTTCCTGCGGGCTGTGAATCCTCATCCATGCACGGTCCCGGTGCGTGGTGCATTCCCGCGTGCGTACCGGCTGCATGACAACAACCTGCCGGGCTGTGGTGATCGACCGGCCGGAGCAGCTAGCTACCAACTCCCTCTTCACGTACCGCCCGTTACCATCAAGCAAAGCACCAACGAGCCTGGTTTGATTTTATCATGGTCGAGCTAGCCTCCCCGGGACGAAATTACAAATCCGTTGTGCATGCATGTACGTGAAGAGGGAGTTGGCAAAATGTCATGGACTTTGTCAAAGCTTACGTACTCGTCTTTGTCAAGGGAGTGCTATGATGCGTACCTGCCCGCCCCAGCTACACGCACAGTAGGACTGCATTGCCGTGGTTGAAATTTAAACAGGCGGGTGTGAGAATCCCGGGGAGGGTGTAGGACAGTCGGTGATTTCATTTGGGTTCCAGTGCACAACGAGCTGGCCGGCCGCGCTGGTCTCGTCTAATCGTCTTTGAATACGTACTTTTCTTGCTCCTTTCATGCACCAACTAGTGTGAGGGTGCACGAAAAACTCGACAGAAGAACCGGCGCCGAACAATCGGGGCTGAGCTCTGTGCCAGGGAAAACTCGACAGAAGACTCGGCCCACCTACAAGTAGCTGCACGTAGTAGTACTCCAGGAAAAGGATAACCAAAACCAGTCAAGTAGACCGGATTACGCGAGCGCTGCGTGCATCACTCTGCCACGTACCAGTGGCAGTTCCGCGAATACCCGGCGACGGCATGGGCGATACCACCACACCTTAGACTACATGAGTTGAGCTTTCATGCCTTCACCCGCCATGCGGACGCGGAGACGGCCAGGTCGGTCCCCGCAGAGATGAGAGAAAGAGATGAGTTTGTAGAGACTAGAGCCCGGAAAATGCATTGCACCTCTCGGGTGCCACACACACCTAGAGCCCCGATTATTGTTGAGTCAAAGTCAAGTGCCAGCGATTGATTCCCAATACGGGCAGCACAGCAGCGCCACCCCAACCAAATGCCGTCTTTAACCTTGCCTTAACCTCGACCTAATACCCCGTCCAGGTTCACCATTAACTAGCTCTTTTCCTCCATGGCCAGCCAAGCCGACCTGTTCCTTGCAGCTCCCCGTTATTGCCAGGCGCAGCATTTCGTACGCGCCAGCTGACCTACACGAAACCGAAAAAAGAAAGAAAAAATGAGAGCAGCAGCAGTAGTGTAAATTGCGCAGGAAATGCAGTCCTGATGAAAATCCAGTTCAGATAAATCCAGAATTTCCAACGGGCCGGTGCGTGCACGTCAAGTAGTTTGCTTTAACTACTCTACGTACTCCACTTTTTATACTAAAGCAATGGCTGAAAACGACTCGCCTGTCCACCGCCGATCGCTCGATCCGCACCACTGTCATATCAGCCTATCACTTTTAACTGTGCTGCCGTCTCGTGATCTGGCCGGCCGCCTCTACTTATCCATACGCGCGATGCGTTTGTACGAGAATATATTCAGCTCGTGAAGCCGATCCAAACTGTTGGCATCGACGAATGGAGAGAGGATTTTATTCCGACAAAACTCGACGCCGAACCTGTTCCGTCTCAGATAGCATGGCATTGGATACGGACCCGACGAGGTCTCAAAGACGTACGGCCTTCTTTCTACGATTCTACTGCGCTTGCTTATCCGGACCCGGGACGGGCCGGAAGCCCGGAACGAATATGTCGCCGGGCACATCGATCAGTCACCGTGTGCATGGCGAGATGATAAACCCGGCCCCGGAAAAACGAATTATCAATCGGCGGCTTCGCCCTCGGCTGCCGCTGTCAGCTCATCCGTGGAATATCTGGCTTTGCCAAGTTGCGCCGGCGAGCGCACGGTCACGAGACGTCGACCGATCCGCCCCGGCCACCATCCACCCCCACCCCAGTGGCTCGCGCGCGGGCGGGCGGCAGCAGTGCGGCGCGCTGTACGCGAGCGACGGGAGCCGGCCATGTCGCGCACGAGAGGATTAGACCAAAAAGCTGAAAAAGGTCTCTCCTTGTCGTCTTCCCCGTACCGAAATGGCCCTTGCTTAGCCCACGCTCCATCCCTCGCCGCGCTTCTCCTCCTCCCCCAAGCTACCGCCACAAATACCAGGGGCAAATCTAGCAGAAGCAACTTACTCTTTTTTTTTATAAAGTGCAAAAAGCAACCGAATTAATACCAGGGGCGCATGGCTAAGCATCGATCTGGTCACTCGGCACGTCATTTCGTCAAAACAACATCTCATTGCAGGACGGTAGGCCTCGTGGGACCCACCCGTCAGCTATACACGGGGGACAACGGCTTCCAGTCCAGATTTCAGACAGCCCTTCCATGGATCGGATCAAAATAATACGCAGGGCAATGTGCCTACGCGTCTTCCTTGTACATGTGTGCACTAGAACGTGCAGCAGTAGCTACAGCTAAGCAGAGTTCGTTCAGCCTTCCCCCAACTACACTAGATTAGCATTAGTCAAACCAAATCTCCCTCCGGTGGATTTGTTTACACGTAACTCTACACTCGGGTTATTCGTTCTTGCCGCCCGCCGCTCTTGCCGGACGGCGAGCAGGCCAGGCCGGCGGCTACTCGGCAATGGCGCCGAGATCAGGCACGAAGTCGCGCCCGAGGCTGGGGGCCCTCCGCGACCGCCGGCGGGACGCACCCTTCACGCCGCTCCTCGCCGCGGGGGCGCCGCTGGCCGAGTCGGGGAACACGAGCGGGCCGTCGTGGTCGCAGGCCAGCGCGGCGCTGGCGCGGATCGCGAGCGCGGCCATCTCCTCCGCCTGCAGCGGCCGGCGCCGCATCGCCGCGGGCAGCACGAAGTAGAGCTGCCCGGGCTGCAGCTCCTCGTCGGCCGCCACCGCGGCCACCGCGCCGCCGAGCTCGAGCCCGTCGGCGCTGCACAGGAAGCACGCGCCCGCGGGCGCCGCCGTCGCCGCCGCAGCCGCGGCCTTCATGGCCTGCGACGCCCGGGTGCCCCCGGGGAACCGCTGCAGCTGGCCGTCCGCGAGCACGACCCGCGCCGCCGTGGCCTCGCCCACCGCGGAGGCCCCCGTCACCGCCGCCACGGCCGTCGCCTCGCACGAGTTGCACGCGCCCATGGTGAAGATATTATAGTAGTAAAAATCGCCGCCGAGGGTTATTAATCCGAGGTGAAGAGAGGAGCAGAGCTCGAGCTGCGCGCGCACGGTGGTGGCTGAGTGGGGAGGAGTGAGCCGTGAGCGTATATATAGGGGGGCGACGACCCGCCGGGCGGTGTCGCGGAGGAGGAAGGAGGATGCCAACCTGGAGGTTGTTGGGGACAGCTTGCATGCGGGGCGCGCGCGTAAATGCGTGCACTGTGCGGACGTGTAGCTAGGGACGTCCTATAGCCTACTGGAACGTACTAGCGTCGCGTTGTGCGGAGCTGTGCTGCATGCATGGCACATTGGCAGTGCGGCGGCCCACGGTTCAGTGACCGCTGACGTGTCCATGCGTTGTTCCCCACGGCGAAATCGTTTCTCCCTGTGTGCACAGGAGCAGAGTGCTGCTCCCACGAGCTGGAGGCGAGTGAGTGAGTGGGATCACTGCATCACTGCATGTCAAGTCCCAAGCACGAGCTGAAGCGCTACAACTACATTATGTCGTGTGATGCTTCTTTTTTGCCGGCGAAATCATTCGATCATGTGTGCTGAGAATCATTGGGCAAAGCGAGGCGCTTAGTTTTTTGATCTAGGAGGAGTAGGAGTATTAGATAGGAGCTTTTGGAAGCCGAGGAAACGGCGAGGAAGAAGAAGGGAACGGGGAAAAGGAGATGATGGTTGATGATTGCAGTGGGGGAGGGGCCGCTTGCATGCAGGATCACAGAATCGGCGGAGGATCCGCCAAAGTTGGCAACTTCGCGCCATTTTCTCCGCCATGTTGGACAGGGATTTCCTGGATCTCCTGCGAAAAGTACCAACATCACGCCTATCATGAGGCGCCAATGCAGGAATAGGTAAGAAACGTCACATATTCAAAAGATAGACAGTAATACCTCGGGTTTTAGATATACTTCGTTTGAAAATATTGTCACGCTTTTTTCCATCTTTGTAAGATTTAAACAAATTTATTGAAAAATATTACGAGTATGTACTATATGCAATGTCAAATAAATATCACGAGATGAACGCCTAAAAAATCACGAGTTTTTTTACATTTATGTGATAAAATTGGTACATTTTTATATTCTTGTCAGTGAAATTAAATGAAGTTTAGGGTTTAGTACTACAAAATCTACACACTATATACTTTTACAACCGAGGGGGGAATTAAGTACTAGAATCTCCCTCTCTCTATATATAGCACGTCCTTGGAATGGAAAGAGGTAAACCGTTTCCGCAAGAAAAAAAGGAAAGAGAGAAATGATCGATCTGCAAATCGTTTTTCTTTTTCTTCTTCAGCATCAGTTATTATGGTCAATATTTCTAAACTTAGGCATAGGATTCCTTGCGGCCATTCGTACACACACATCACCCATGTTTGTATTGCTCTACAGGTCATGACTCATGAGCGTCCTCCTGCCTGTACAATGTCAGATTTGTACAGCTACATGCATACATAGTCAGTCCCGGCCCCGCCGCGCCCTGCAATCGCTCTGAGATCTCTCGCTCCCACGCTTTCATGGCCTGCATGTACAGTGCAGCAAAGCTTAGCTGGGCGCCCAGTCCTCGCCATGCCCCATAAACCATCGTCCATACACCATGCGTGGACTCCGGAGCCAGCCAGAAGGAAACAGACCTGTCAGACCGAGATCGAGAAAAAAGAGCTCGAAAACATGCTACATTGTCCATGCTAGACGTAGTACGTACAACTGGAGAACAGAGAAGATGCCATGCGATGCGAGCCCATGCTCTGGCTATCATTGACACTGCACAGCGCACAGTTTGATTTGTTGCGTCCGTCCGTGCGTGCGGATCGCACAGCATTTCCTCCTCCTCCTCCGACACTCTCCAATCATCCGTGCCCCCGAGCGATGCACGCACCTAGCCGGAGTCCCGGAGCCCCCGGCCCGCCCAGCCGGGGGCGGGCGTCTAGGCCCTACCCGCCCCGCGTATGTACGTACGTTACGTGGACGCGCCCATTGAACTGGTGAACTGAATCTCTTAATGAAACATCACGTCCTACAGCTCATAGCAGCACCCGGTACATGAACCATCGTGTCGATCACCATCTTCTTCAGTCCTTCACCCGTTACAGTGTATTTAAACTGGACAGTCTGTTACAGTGCAGTATCTTCTCTTTATCTCCTCTGACAACTGGGTTAGTTAGTGTGTGCAAGACGAAAAATAATGTAGTCTCAGTACCGGATTGCTCGCGTGATGCACTTACACTAACAGCCCTGAATTTTCTAGGCAAAAGATTCCACGTGCAACAAACGCAGCTCCCGAATAACCTCTGCTCAGTCCTCTGAACCAAGCTACCGAACACATTTCTGTGCACTGCAGCGCCAGGCTTGCAGTCAAACGGCTTGGATTATCTTAGTGCTGTCGCTCCAACACAACGGCGACATCTACCTTTGTTTAAAAACCTTGATCAAGCCCATCATCATGCACTGCATGCGACCGGAGAAGCGTAGACGCGCGGGGGAGAAAAGGTTCCCCCTGTTGGGCGACGGGTGATCACGCCGAATCTACGGCCAGCTCGCCTGTTCTCCCCGGCGGTGCCGTGGTACCGACACCGGAGGGACACCCGAATTCTCGGTCATGTGCCGGATCCAACTTGCCTCCGCGACGAGAATCATCAGGGTACGTACCTATGCTTGCCAATGGCTCATGGCTGGCTGGCTGGCTACCTTGCTGATTTTGATATATGAAATGAAACATGTCTCTGTCTGTCAGGTACCAACGCGAGGAGGACGTGAGTTGGCTCTCACGGCGAGGCGTGCAGGTGAGGTGCAGGATTTAACAAAGATTGGACTGGCTATTCTCATCTTATCTCACGCTGTCATGTGGAATCGTTTTCGTTGCGCTGTGGTTTACGATGATGATTGATGAGACTCTGGAATGTAGATAGATGGGTTTTCTCTTTCCTTGTCCGTTGTCGTTGTTGCTGTGGCCGTCGGGCGCAGCTGCACGAGCCCGCAATGCTGCAGATGGCTACCCTGCAAGTTGCACCGCCCGTTCGCAATCCCGTGTCGACAGTTTGTCGAGGAAGACGTTGAGATCTCAAACTGGGAGACCATAATTTGCTACTGTACATCTCAGACCGTTTCGGCTCAGGCCCATCTCTTGGGCAAGTAGCACCATTCGTGCCATGTTCAGCTCCGCAACTTAGGACTGGTGGGCATCCGTGGCCATCCAATCCATCGTCATGTTGGGAGGAAAAGTCTTGACGTCTGGTAGTAGATCGCATATCGGCATATGGATCATGGTTCCATATGCGATAGACTTTTGATTTGAGAGGTAATATGTGACACATTGTTCTATGTAATCTTACTCGTACAGTTTTGCATGGCCTGCCCTCGTCGAGTTGTTTCCAGCTCAACCTTAGCATCACTAAGGGCATCTCCTTTTGTTTTTGCGAGGAAACTAAGGGCATCTCTAACAGGTCCCAAATCCTAAACTAATAGTCTAAAGTTTCTCTTCTATCCCATGTTTTTAATTGTTTTTTCTAGGGAAATAACTTTTGCTCAGCTAACAGATCCCCTAAAATCTAATCCTTTCAAAAATATTGAACACAAGCTTTCACACAAATTCATTTGAAACACATATTTAAAGTACTAAATCGCGTAAACTGGACACCAACCCAACATTAGCATCTTGCATGCTGTAATTAATAGTCCATCAATTAACTGCACTATGCTCCCTAATTTTTATGGCCTAACAGTCAATTGAGGTCTCCAATTTAGAATTGGGCCATGTAAGTCAACAATTTATCAAGAAGTTCTGTCATTCAATCCTTTTAATTCACTATGTTTCCTAATTTTAGAACTCTCTCATTCGATTGCTACAATACGATCCCTAATTTTTAAGGCCTGCCAGACAATTGAGGTTTCCTGTTTAGAATTGGGCCACCCAATTTTGACTCGGCCAACAATTTCTCAAGGACTTCTCGCTCCCTAATTTTGGAGCTCTCCCATTCAATTGAGGTATTCTTTTTTTTTCCGGGGACGAGGGAGGGTTGATTGAGGTATTCAATTTGGAATTGGTTCACACTTTGATCGGGTCAATAATTTCTCAAATCAATCAGCAACAACCATCTATAAACATATCAATCTCGCACACCCTCTCATAGCCTAGAAAAAGAAGCACCAACATGTGATACTGTAGGGACCAATAATATAGTACATGCATCCATTGACGCGGAAAATTTCTCCACATAACTACGAGTTGATTAGCAGATAACATAGAATCACCGTGAAAGGCCAGCCAAAACACCGCATTACAAAAAAAATTGAAAATCACTCCATCATCTTCCCCACTGGCCAAACCAAATATTCCCCCGGTTCCAAAATAAAAGGTGTATTAGTTTTTTGAAAAGTCAAGTTTCTTGAAGTTTGACCAAGTATAGAGCCAAAAATATTGGCATTCACAATACTAATTAAGTAAAATATGAAAATTCATGTCATAATGAATTTAATGCTACTGATTTGATGTTATGGATATTGATATATCTCTCTGTAAATTTGGTCAAACCTAAAGAGGTTTGACTTTTCAAAAAACTGATCAATGTAATTTTTTAAACATAATGAATATTTTCTTAATGAAAATCAACAACACCAACGATGCAACAAAGCACGCACAACCCTTCTAGTACGTACCACATGATCAAATGGACAAGAAACTAGTATAAAAAACTACTCCCTCAGTCCGAAAATACTTGTCGGAGAAATGGATGTATCTAGAAGGTTTTTTTACTCCCTATGCACTATATACATCCATTTTTGTCCATTTCTCTGACAAGTATTCCTGTGCGGAGGGATTATATGATGTTATGTAGACATATGAACATGTCTTTTTTTATTTTTGTTTAATAAAAATGGGACAACTAATAATTTAGGGGAAGAAGTTTATGAGAACTGACAAAAGTTTGCTCTCAAAAAACTTCCCCTGAATTTTACTGGAAGCCCAAAAACTGATTT